ACAGTTTTAAAATGAAGACCAGTGCTCCCAGGTAATTACTTACTTACATTTTTTTATGTGCAGTTTTTATGGCTAAATACAGAGGATAGCTGATTCTGTATGCAATTGTATATTTGGAAACAGCACATGCAGAAGTGTGCACCAGTTGAATACACATTTTTGTAGGCCTTATTTTTGAAAAAAATATGGTTCATACCATTATTATTAAAAATAGAGATGGGACAGGTATGTCTATCAAACAACAAAGATCATAAATTTCCCAATAGGAGAGAGATACATTCAGATATACGTACAAAGTGAAGCATTTTAATAAGATGTGAAAGTATTTTTGAAAATCATAGTAAATACTTTGTGAAAAACTTTTTCCATTCCAAACATTCCATAAAGTCGATAAAGATACATTAAAAGCATTCTTTAAGCCTCTTGATCTCTAGGTTTTTTTCAGGAGTATTAGAGATGGTAAGTCAAAAGGGTCGGACAAGCAGCAATCTAAAGGGACAGGCAAGGAGAATAGCTGAGATCCCAAGCACACGTGCCTCAAAGGGGTTGGATAAGCAGTGATCTAAAGGGACTGGCAAGGAGAATAACTGAGATCCCAAGCACATACGCCGCACGTCAGACAAAGCTCTGACAGGAGCAAAGAGCAAAGCCTCCCGGTCAACACCAGTAGGCAAAACCACACCAATACCTGAGGTGCAAATCAAACAGCGCTTGCACATAGCACTGAGCCGGAGTGCAATACTCCATGTGGCATCACTCAAACACGTGGCACCAACAGCTCAGTCAATGCAGCCTCCGCTCCCATTAATGCCGCCATTAAAGCCTTATGCTTCCTGCCTTCCTGTACCACTTGTCCCGCTCCCACTGCCTCAGTTCACAACAGCAGCTGAACTGACAGTTCACTTGGTACCAGGGTCTCCCCTATTTGATACCGACCGTACCCCTAACACACTGCGGGGCACTCTCTCAGCCACTCCAGCCAGCTCTGTAGCAACAAGCTTTAGTGACAATGAGGAGGACATACATAAACCACCTCACGCTGAGGCATTATCCTCATAAGCCTCTGCAACAGACATAGCAATGGCAACCTCCACAGTGGATACCACCACCAGTCATGCCTAACTGGCCATTTTGAGACCCTTGGGCTTGCTACAGACAACAACAATCTACACAAGCACAATATCCACCTGTGACACTGTGGTCCCAGGCACCAACCATACAGTCCATACAACATAACAGCTCAGGCACAGATGAACAGGATGGAGATATTATGGGGGAAGAACACAGTCCACCCTCCTCTCCTCCCACGTACACTTTGGCCATGTCACCAGATGACACAATAATGCCTCCACCATCAACAACGGGATGATACTAGAATGTTCCAGGAACTTTTCAATAGAGTGGCAGAGGCCCTGGAGATCTCCCTCTCAGATGCTCCACAGACTTGTGTGGAGTATAAGCTCACAAGCATTTTATAAACATCTCTCCATTCAAAACTAGCCATCCCCATGAATGAGGCTCTTATGGATCTGGCCAAAAACATATGGAACACCTCAGCCACAGTCTCACCAACTTACAAGAAAGCAGACAGAAAATATTACCTAGCTCCCAAGGGAGAAGAATTCTTGTTCTCTCATCCAACACCGAATTCTCTGGTGGTAGAAGCGGTCAATCAAAGAGGAAGACAACAAAATACATGTACAGCTCCCAATTATAGGGATTGGAAGCGGCTGGATATGATGGGAAAGAAGGCCTACTCATCAGTAAGCCTACAGATTAGAATAGCTAATTACACTGCGTTCTAAGCAAAGTATACACACCAGATATTTGACAAACCTTTATTGATTCCATTCCAGACACAAAGGCAGAACAATTAAGCAAACATTAAAGATGATACATTTATAGCACACACAGCTCTACACGCTGCCCTAGACTCGGCAGACACAGCAGCCAGATTTTTAGCCTCGGCTGTGGTGATGAGGAGGGCATCGTAGCTTCAGCTCTCAGACTTTCCGAGAGAGGTTCAAACCACTGTATAGGACTTCCTATTTGAGGGCTCGTACAGGGTCAATGGACACAAGATGAGACCAAGTACCATATAAAATGACTGGAGTTAAGGGCCGTAAGAAATGCCTGCATTCACTTTTTTCCTCTAATTCGAAACAAAACGGCACAAACAACATCTCTATGAGGTATTACATCAACAGACAGGGAGGAGTACGCTCATATCACGTATGCCAGGAGGCAGTATGCTTCTGAGAATGGTCTGTCCCACGAAACACACACCTGATAGCAGCCAGACAAAGACACTACCTTAGCAGACAATCTAAGCAGACAATTCCCACAAAACCACGAGTGGGAAATAAACCAATCAGTGCACACTCACCTCTTCAGGAAATGGGGATTCCCGATGGTGGACCTATTTGCAACACACAAGAATGATCACTGCCCACAGTACTGCTGCAGAGCGGGCATAGGTCCCACCTCTTTGGGGGATGCCTTCAATATAGAATGGCACACACACCTGGCATATGCCTTTTCCACTTATACAGAGAGTGATTCTCAAGATCAAGCAAGACCGGGCCAGAGTAATACTCAGAGCACCCAATTGGCCCAGGCAAACGTGGTACCTGTTACGGATAAGCATTCGGTCCCCGCATCGATTCCCACCAGTCAGGGTTTTGCTGATACAACAAAATGGTCAAATTCCCCATCTGGCCATACACAAGTTACACCTCCGGGCGTGGATGCTTGTTTGTTGAATCCCATGGAAAGGGCCTTTCTGGAAGCGGTACAGCTCGTCCTCACAAATTCCAGATGACCTGCAACAAGAAAGACATATGGTCAAAAATGGAAAAGGTTCACGGGCTGATGTACAGTTCACAATCATGAACCACTCCATATGGGCATATCACACATTTTACAATACTTGTTAGAACTACATAAATGCGGGCCTCTCCATGAGTACCATCAGGGTGTACCTTGCTTCCATTTCTGCTATAAACGCTCCTGTACAAGGAAACTCATTCTTCACACATCCATCAGCCAAACGCTTCATATGGGGTTTACACAACATGTTTCCTCCATATAGGGATCCAATCCCAGCATGGAACTTGAACTTGGTACTAAAGGTGCTCATGGGTAAACCCTTTGAGCCTCTTGCCACCTGTTCACTATTACACTTGTCAATGAAAGTAGCTTTCCTTGTGGCAATCACCTCCACAAGGCGTGTTGGCAAAATAGCAGCCTTAATGGTGTATCCACCATACACTATTTTTCATAAGGATAAAGTCACACTTAGGACTCATCCCAAATTCCTACCCAAAACACCTACCATGTTCCACTGCAACGAACCCATATACAGTACTTACCTGTTTTTTTTCCTAACCCGCAAAGGACAATAAATAAGAAGCTCTCCATACCCTGGATGTCCGTAGAGCACTGGCATTCTACGTACAGCCATCAAAGCCCTTTTGAAAAACCCTGTAGCTGTTTGTTTCATCAACAGGGAAATCATAGGGGTTGACGATATAGAAACAAAGACCCTCAAAATAGATATCTAGCTGCATTAAACTAGCGTATACCAAAGCCCAGAAAGAGCATAAAAATTGAGGGGTATATACTGTTTCTCCATTTTCTGCAAGAAACACCAGCTATTTTCCTTGTCCTGCCCCCGAGCCCTCACATAGCACAAAAGTGTTTCAAGTGATATGTAGTGTTCCTTGCATTACAAGGAGGAAGCCTTATGCTGAGTTCATATGCATTGCTTTTGCTTCCCCTATAGGTGGTGGTGTTTCCAAGAGAGCCACATGAAAGCTTTGGAGTGAGAGAGGAACCAACAAAAGGAAGCTGGAGAAGGGAAAACACTGAGAATAAGGGAGTCAGAGTATAACAAGGGAAAAGAACCCAAAAAACCAACAGTGGTCCTGAAGCACCTCAGGGCATGTCTTCACTAGGAAATTATTTCAAAATAACTTATTTTGAAATAATAACTTCTGAAATAACTATTTTGAAATAGAAGCTTCAAGGGGTAGCCAAGTTAGTCTGTATAGGTAAACTGAAAAAACAACAAATAGTCTGGTAGCACTTTATAGAATAACAAAACATGTAAATGATATCATGAGCTTTCATGGGCATAGCCCACTTCTTCACAAGACTGGAGTGTTGGATGTCTAGGACCAAAATAAATAGGGGAGATGGAAGGGGGGCTGGAAGAAGGGAAAATTTGGAAAGGGGGGGGACAAGAAAAAGCATTGGGTAAAAAATATATCAAGGGAAAGCCGAGTCTATAAGTACCTAAAGACTAGATAGTCAAAGGGGGCAGATAAGAACCATTAATTAGCAAACAACACAAAGAGTCAGGAAATACTTAAAGACTGATGAAACATCTAGATGGTATCATGGCTCATAAAGCCACCCCCGCACCCCTGAAAATGGTTCTTTTCTCCCAGCTCCCTGTGCTCTCCGGGGCAGGGGAACCATCTGGCGCAGCCATTAAAGATGGCATCAGCCGGCGGGAGCCTGATATGACCAAAAAGCCTCTAAATACATTTTCTTAAAGGGGCATTTAGAGGCTTTTTTTTTTGATTGCCAACTTTGCCTTGGCTCTTTGCACTGGATCCACTGTTACCTTGCTCTTTGCCTGGAATGGGTTGGCCACCCCTGCTTTAAGTGCTTATAGACTTGGCTTTCCCTTGGATTTAATTTTTTGTAGATGCTTAGGATCTGAGAATAGCAGCATGAATATAAGTTGTTTAAGTCTAAACTGTTTGCTAATGTTTCTTTCAATCTCCAAAGTAAGTAAGGTACAACTATCATGTAGTAAAACATGTGACTGAATAAAAACAAGTTACATTTCCTTCTTGAACAAAAAAAAGTGGATAGGTAGAAGGAGCAATTTGGCTCAAAATCTCAAGTGCATTGAAACTCAAAGTGCGTATTCTGGGAAATTGTTCTCTAACCTAGAAGATAAGTGATGTTTGGTGTTTTTTTATTCATAGGTCTCTTAAGTTGGTACTATTATGTGACCATGCCAATGCCAGCATCGACCTTCACAATTGCTATTGGGAGTTGGACTGAAGTTAAAAAGCAATCCTGCACAGCTGACATCTGGACAAACAAGGAGTTTTCCTTTCTGCTTTCAAAGGCTGATCTCAGGTTGGTGATTAGGGTATTACTAAAAAATAAAAAATTGAGTGAACGTTTCATTTATTCTGTGAAACATCAAAGTGAGTCATCTTAGCAGAAACCATTGCAGAACATGTCTAATCAGAGCAGAAAGAAATCTTAGGGAAGTAAGTCCACAGGCAAAGGATGGGCAAAGGTGTGTTGTTTATGTGTGTAGCTTAGGTTCATGGAACATAGCAATTAGTTTCTATGTACAATGTATTCAACCTAGTTAACAGAATTTTTAAACTCTGCACATTATCCTTTCATTTATAACCATCTGCTTTGCAAAATCCTCAAATCCTTTCTCTTTTTATTCAGTTCGAAACTTAATAAGAAGTCTCTTGCTTGCTTTGTCAGTCACTCAAGCTGTTTTGGTTCCATTTCAATTTCCATTTGGATTGTAAAGATGTCACTGCTTAAATAGTGTTAATCAGGCTCTACATATTGAGGATAAAAGGATGATTTCATAAGGGACTCCTAAGTTAAGCTTTCCTGTTGGGTCAGTGCTTTGTTACTTCTACTAGCACTTCTGGGGAAAATTTTAGAGATGGAGCCTTTCTCTTTTTTTGCACAAAAGTGAGAAAAAATACTGTTTAAAACTTTGAAATGTTTATGCATTTGGATACATTTTAGAGATCATTGTATATTTATATATTTGTAATCTATGATGTATATTTCCTCTACAGAAATGCACATTCTGTAATTATATTACATTGTACATTCTGCTGTAATATATAATGCTTTAGTATAGGATTTGTAGCTGTTGGTGATTGTGACAGTAAAATATATCATTAGTTATGTCTAATTTCAACTTTATTAATTAGGCTCTTACCTATGTAAATTAACCAAGTAGAATTAAAAGATTGTCATTCTGTAGCATCCTTTGAAAAATGTTATATAACTTTGATTGCTTTGCTTGCATTCTGCTGTATTTCAATGGTGAGTGAGCTTTCTTTGTGTAGATAATCTTTGAAATGATTTAAGGTCTATTTCTTTCAGGTAAAAGGCCTTATGTAAAGGTCAGGTGTTGTTACTTCGTTGTTATTAACTTATGGTGCAACTACCCAGCACCTTAAACTCGAAATAAAATACGCAATTTGTGCTAAGCAAATTGTGTATCTTATTTCAAATCTATTTAGAAATAGCTTATTTTGAAATTTGGTGCATCTACACAGAGCCAAATTTCAAAATAATGTGCTATTTCGAGACATCCCTTAACCCTCGTGGAATGAGGGTTACCAGGATGCTGAAATATTTTGAAATTTTGAAAACTATTTTAAAATAATGGGCAGCTTGTGTAGATGTGGAGTATCCCGAAATAGCCGTGCAATGTAGATGTACCCTTAGGTAGCTAAATGGGATCAATTCAGTGAAAGTAATCATAGCCTATAGAACAGCAATAGTTTGGAGCCTAATCCTACAAATACTATTAGTCCAAGTGCTTACAATAAATCAGCCACAAAAAAATTGCTACTGGAAACCCAAGAGAGGGTTTGTGTTGTGCACAATAGGAGTTAGCAGGTGAAAAAAATATGAAGCTGATTTCTCTTTGATGTGAATTTGTTTGGACAGGTAACTTCTCTTAAGAGTGTCTGACTCAATATTTAGGAAATGTACTTTCTCCCAAATCCTACCTCCAAGGGGAAACACCCTTCAGAGGTAATGCTGGTACAGATTTGGTCTTGATGTGGTTCCTGCAAATGCTTGCAGTGCCATGACTGAATTGAAACCTGCTTTTTTTGTGAAGTAGGAATAGTTTTTTATTGTTTGTCCTGAAGAATTTTTAGTTTAAAACTTGATCATCTTTCAGTCATCAGATCTCTGATTTCTGTGATAAAAGTAAATCCTGTTTTTATTACCTGATTAAATATTTAAGTATTTAAAAATATTTAGCTAAAAAACTCTCTTTCCTTCAGTTTGAGCTTTATCCTATAATTTGTTCTTGTCCATTTCGTTTTCTGTATTTATTTTTTGATGAAACGCAAACATACACATAGTTTTGTCTTGAATAGTGACTGCATTTTGAATAAGTGTTCTTTTGTCTGTCTGTCTGTCTGTCTGTCTGTCTGTAAAACATGTTGCTACTGTCATCTATTTTAGATTGGAGTGGCCAAATCAATTCTACCCAAGCATATCAATAATAATTTTGCCAGTGTTTTTACACTGCTGCACGTATATGAACAGTGTGAGAATACAAAGGATCAAGCTTTGTGTATGACCTATCAATAGTTTTATCCCCCTGATGTTTGCAGAAATTCCTCACCTCCTGCACACACATTCAACTACATGTATTTGTAAAGTCCAACTAAACCATTATATTGGTGTTGTCAGGTTGATTGGAGGGAGCTGTGGACACGTGGAATATCCTTGCCGTTTCCAAAATCCTGCTGCCAGTTCTCAGCTAGTCATTCCTCACCGAGTCTTTGCTCCATTGTGCCTGAGGGATCGTTGTGCAGAGATCATTCTTGAGCTGATTCCTCAGTGCCTGTCAGCTGCTCACGCTACATTGGGTACCCATCCTTTTTCCAGGCTTGATGTGTTGATAGTCCCTTCCAACTTTTCAAGTCTGGGAATGGCCAGGTACAGAAACTTCTCTAATATAATTATTTTGTTTTTCTGTTTAGAACTTCTTATGTTGCCTAATCTTTTCACTGTTGTATGCTGCTCCTTGTTGTCTCTGCCAGTCAGATGAGATAAGTTGGGATATGTCTGTGCAGCCCATGGAATAGAGCCTCCTGGGTCAACAGACTTGAGCTAATGGGGTTTACCATAGCTCTCTAAAAACAGCTGTGCAGTCATTGCTTTCAGGTTCCTTAGCCTTTAGAGCCAAGGCTCCAGCCCAAGCCACAGTGTCAAAACATTGTATGGACAGCTATTTTTAAAGCACTAGAGTCTGTCAGCCCAGACTGGTGGGTTCACTTCTGTGAGCTGTGTAGAAGTACCCTTCATTGCCACATATGCCTTTGACATCTGTGCTGTTCTCAGATGGCATGCGCAAAGTACTCACCCTTAGTCATGAACCGGCTGCTCCCCTTTTAGACATTGAAGGATACACCTCTGGTATGGTCAGCCTGTAATGGTTTGAAAATTGAAAACTTCAGTTTGCACAGACATACCCAAACTTATTCCGTCTGATTGGCCAAGGTATGGCATACATATATATTTTGTAGCCTATTAGACCAAATGATAGCAAAACTTCCGTGGTTGCACTGGTGGAGTTAGTGTGAATAGCAGCAGCTAGACTTCTTTTATCTAGTAACTAGCAATGCCAGCTTTCCATTAGTACTAGCTTGCTTTACTACTCTCACTGAACTGATGATATAGCTGTAATTTTGCTTCATGTGGTGACAGTTTATTTACATCTCTTGTTATGATCTTGCACTTTAATAGGAAACTGGTAAGAGAAATATAAGCTCATTGTGCATTTGCCTCTGAATTTTTCCCCATTATCCAAATGAAAGTTTATTTCTCTTTCCCGTTCATTTCTATACTTTTCCTGCGTCTGTCATTTTAGGTGTTTTTTTCTGGTAATATTTTTCAATTAACGTGTGTTAATACCTGTGATTAACGCAAAGCACAATTAACATGTTAATATTTTTAACATGTTAATTGCAGGCGTTTCTGCAGTGCTGCCCCTTTGAACCACCACCAGGAGTCCCCAGCTGACCCCAGGCTCTGGGCAGTGCTGCCCCTTTGAAATGCCACACTGTGTTTCAAAGGGACAGCATCTGGAGTCAATTGTGCGGTGCCGCCCCTTTGAAATGTTGCCTTGGCATTTCAAAGGGGCAGCTCAACACAGCTCGGGATCAGCCAGGGACTCCAGCTCATCCCGGGCTCCCACGGCGCTGACCCTTTGAAATGCCGGGGCGGCATTTCCAAGGGGCAGTGCTGCACAGAGCTGGGATCAGCTGGGGACTCCAGCTGATCCCAGGCTCCATGCAGTGCTGTCCCTTAGAAACGCCGCCATGGCATTTCAAAGGGGCAGTCCAATGTGGAGCTCAGGATAAGCTGAAGACTCCAGCTGATCCCAGGCTCTTGCAGCACTGCCGCTGCCCCTTTGAAATGCCATGGTAGTGGCGTTTCTAAGGGGCAGCTCTGCATGGAGCCGGGATCAGCTGGGGACTCCAGTTGATCCCAGGCTTCCACGGTGCTGCCCCTTTGAAACGCCACTGCAGCATTTCAAAGGGGATACGCACATGATTAATTGTGCGATTGATCGTGATTTAATTTATTAATCTCATGATTAATTGTGATTAATTTTTTTAATCTCTTGACAGCTCTAATTTTTCCCATTATTTCTTTTAAAAACAAGGACATACTTGAAAACTGATTTATAAAGCTTTTTGTGATTTGTGTTTATCTGGTCAAAACTAGTAATCCTAAAAATAAAGGGGGGGGCAAACTATAAAGACAGATATAAGCTATTATTTATGGAATTCATGGACATTTTAAAATTAAGTATTGTGATTACATCTACAATTAGGGTTAAGTGTTTAGCTATCATACAAATGAGGAATATGTTCTTTTACCTTTACGTTTCCTAAAGTCTGCTTAAATTGGTAAGTAGGCATTATTTGCAAACAGTTAAAGATCAGCTACGATTTGTATATTGATGACAGTGTCCTAGAAGCTTTTGGACCAATATAAAGACAAAGTACATAATTACAGATATATAGGGGTATGGCTTGGAGCAGCAAGTGTGTCCAGGTTGTTGTTGTGCTCTAGCAATTTCAACCAGCCACTGAGATTCAAAGGGTCTGTTGTTGGCTAAGCATGATTAGAACAACTTTTAAACCAGCCCCTGGACAATAATCATTTCCAATTTATGTGTGAAAAAGGGAGAGAATGTTTGTTTAATTTTGATCTCATTGTGTGGGGAAGGAAAGAGAGAGAGAGAAATTTAGCCTGCATGTGATATTGATTAGCTCATTGTATAGATTTTTCCTCTGTTTTATAAATATATTTTTAAAAAATGGAAGATAAAGTTTAAGAATTTAATTATCTCTATTTGTTCTGTCAGGTAAATGTAATGTCTTTTTAGGTGTGGTTTTATTGGACTTTTTACCTATTATTACTTGGATGATAGCCCTTGTGTATCCTGTTGTCCATTGCAGTGTGCCTTCTAGAAAATAATTCTTGACATCTTGTGGATAGTGACACACATTTGACTCTGTTTCAGGAGTGCTGATAGTACATTTACTACTTAGACCAAGATGGGCAACTTAATGGTAGTAGAGGGGTGCAAAGTCCACTGAAACCCCTTTGGCACTCTATAGGTATGATACTTAGGGGATGAGGCCCTGAGAGATTGTTCTAAACTTACCCCAAAGCAGCATCTCCTGTCTCACAAGTTTGGGCCCAGCTCTCCTCTTCAGTCTGTTAGCTCTCACTAAAGTATCAAATAAAATGATTTTGGGGCCAGATGTGGTTTCCGGGCTGCCAGTTTCTTACCCACATAGAACTAAAAGAGCTGTTAAGTGTAGCTCATAGTTTCCAAAAGTTGGTATTTGTGGTTTGCAACAGAGTGATGCTGGATCATCACTGTGGCCGTAGATGAGACTACCTTCCTGCTTAGCTGTATGACAAGAACCATGATCAT